AATTATATTAAAGACACATAGTTTGGCACTTGTGGATACTTCTGAAAACAAATACATAGACAACACATACAGCAACACAGGATATCCATGCTATGGATCTATAATCAGACATAACCATGAACAGAAGTAAACAAAGTTAAAATACTGGTGCAGAGGGCTGTCAACTAAAAGCGGGCACCCTTATTTTGTAAGAAAATGCTGTACACCTATTAAAAACAGTAACAGCTTTCAATCCTGGGGACTTTGAGAGCAGCATTTTTACATTTTTAGTTCTGTTGGGTTACAAATCACCACAAAAGAGTGTTTGCTTGACAGACATAACTGTCGCGTGTTGTCAATACTTCGGTAACAGTGATGATAGATGCTAATACAATGCTACGATGGTGATTACAAATGTATGTTCACTAGCATCAAAGTATTCAAAATACAGATGGTAGTGTCACGTTACTTTGTGATACGTTTACTTTTTTCATGTAGTGTTTTCATACTGGAAAATCTCTTACCTTCAGTCGTGATTACAAGCGTCAGATGTTGATCAACAGTAAAGACGTTCTTCATTGCTGACGACATTTGGAGGCGCGGATCGAATCAACGGATTCAAAATTTTCACTTTATCTAGTTTTTGTTATCTGTGTTGGGCATCTTATAACCACTCCAAACGATCCGGTGTGTGAGCCGTTCGAATGATTCAGACTGAATCGTGAGCCAATTCAAACCTGACTAATTCATTAAAGGGGTCATATGATGTTGCTAAAAATAACATTATTTTGTGTATTTGGTGTAATGAAATGTGTTTATGCAGTTTAAGGTAAAAAAACACATTATTGTCCACATACTGTACATTATTGTTTCTCCTCTATGCCCCGCCTTTCTGAAACGTGTTGATTTTTACAAAGCTCATCGGTCTGAAAAGCGAGGTGTGCTGTGATTGGCCAGCTATCCAGTGTGTTGTGATTGGCCGAATACCTCAAGCGTGTGACGGAAATGTTACGCCCCTCACATACTGTGATGCCGTGTCCCGGTGCGACGAGACAAAAACATTAAAACTCATTATAAACGAGGCATTTTTTGCATCCAGTGGGGACATAATTACTGATTATAATGACTTATACTGTCTTTTTACGCGTTGTGTTGCATCGCGCCGCGTAAACATAAAACCATGTCTGCATTTGTGATCGCTCTTCGGCCTGCGGGAGCCGTTCGGTGGGATCCGCTTCCACCCAAGTGACGACCGCTCGGAAAACAGCCAGCTCTGAAGGAATGGACAGCGCGTCGCATCGGAGGAACTGCAGAAGCTTCTCGGCCGGAAGGTCCTGAAACTTAGGGGTGGCAGATATTTCTTGGAAGTTTCTGAGAACAAAATCCTCAGCCAGCTCCATCAAGTCAGCCATCCCGTAGGCCCCTGCGAAAGACGCCACGTCCAGGCAGTTGTGGACGTCCATTTCTTGCTCCAGAAACTGAAGGCAGAGCGAGATGGCTGGCTGAAACTGAAACTGGAGTGAGGTGCAGGCGAGTTCGAACACGCAGCTCCATCCGAGCACCAGAGCGCCACTGTAGGCGCAGTGCAGGAGGGCCTCGAGCTCAGCGGCTCCGGTTAACAGTAGAGACACGGACTCCTGCTGGCTTTCCTTCATGCCGCTGGTAAACATGCCTCTGAAGTAGTCGCTGCTGGCTGCCAGCTCACCGCAGCCATGACAAACGAATGAACGTGGAGGTTCAGCCCATCATCGGTGCTCAGGATCAGGTCTGTGAGGATGTTCTCCATCTTCATCTCCTCCAGAGTCTGGAAGATCTCACTTGGGTAACTTTGTCTATGGTACCTTTGCAGTTCTTCAGAGAGTTCTTCTTCCACATTATCACCCTCATTCTCCTTCGCTGCCTCCTTTTTCATTCCTATCCTGCTGTCGTTGTAGGATACGATCCATTTTAGCTTCCTGTTCTCCTCCTCAAACTGCTCTCCTCCTTCTTCTATCATCCTTTTCCTGCACTCTTTCTCTCTTCTCCAGCGTTCCTCCCATTCCATGGGCAGATATTTTCTTGGAAATTCCATGAAGAAGTGTCTGTCAGGTGTTATGGTGTTCTTGTCTGGATTTTACTCTTGTTTTAGCAATACTTCTCCTTATTGTCGTTCTCTGTTTACAGCACTCACTCTTGTCGGCACTCCTGTACTCCTGTGTTTCCCTGAAGTCAACAACATGCTAATTATAGGTTGTGGGTCAGTAGATCTCATTTCGATAGACATTTCACATTTTACAGAAATACAAAGCAGTTCTTAGGCTTCTTATAACTATGAAAGAGACATTTAAGCACTGAGAGAGATTTATTTCTTTCACTGACCTAACTGAAAGTATTGAATAGATAACTGGCTAGTTGACAAATCATATAACATCCATTCTTCTTAAACATTACGTTTGTATGTTATTTGTATTTCTGAATAAGTTAATGTAAATTTTTGAACATTTAAAAAAAAAAAAAATCTTTAAAGTAACTTTTCCGTGTAATCAAGTTCATAAAACTGCATGGATAATTATGCAAGAATGCTAACAAATATTTGCAGTGATAAGTAATGATGTTATTAATTACATGTGATGATAACGTAAAAATAAAAAGAGATTTAGCTATATTTAGAAGAACCGTATTGCTCAGAATCCAACTTAAGGCACTGAAACATGTTTTCATCAGGGTTTGCCCTTTCAGAAAACAACATAATACCAGTAACCCACAAAGGTTTTCAGGAAGCTGATTATTATTTAGTACAGTCACAGTGTTTCTGTTTGGGGTTACATTTAGGAAGAACATGCTATTGAAAAATACAACAAAATCAAACGCAAATAGAAATTTGACCGAAGTGAACTGCTGCTGTACAGCAATGAACATGTGAAAAATCATTGTATTTATTTAAGTAACATTAAAATTAATGATGAAAAATCATCATGCATCAACCCGATCGTTATAATCTGTATGCACCATTAAGACAGAAAAGAAGATAAGCATTAACTGCGTTTGCACAGACATCTGTATGCTTGTTAATAGTGTCCAACATTAACAAGCTAAACACCAGCATTTTATTTAGAAAGGTTTAAGTCGCTGACTCATTTCAGAAAATGTTGTGTACATCGTTTCTTGGTTGTACTTTTCTTTGTAGTTGTTAACAGAGAAGACGCTTTGAAACCAAAGTCACTTACACAAGTGTTCTGAGTACACAAAGTTGACAAGCCCACCCAAATGGGCTGTGGAAAAAAAAAACGTATGAACTTTTTATGGCACACAGTTCCTTGAAACTTGTATAAACTGTGGAAAAAAAGGTTTACTGTGTTCTTTCGGCCCATTCTGATTGTTGACTCAAGTGCTCTTTGAAATCTAAATTCTAGGAATGGAACTGATTGACTGATGTCCACTCTATAAATTACATATCCTTTGGCCATCCATATTTTGCCCTCATGAAAAGCATGATGGTTCCAGTAAACATTACCTGCATGCCAACATTCTGATTGGTTAGATGAAGATGTGGGTGTGTTTACTAAATACCGCTGTATAGATAGTTGGAACAATCGTGATGGAGCAGGTTCACGTTCCCAATGAAAACCTACATCAACAAAGCATTTCATGTTACTACTATCAACAAATGAATGGGGACACTAAACGAAAGTAGCAGATATTAGACAACGTGCAAATGCTGGTACTGCCGGTTCAAATCACTGCTTTTCACTTGAAAACAACATGGTTTGAGAACATTATGGAAGTGTTCTCAGCACATTTTCATGACGTCCATTATCTCACTATTAAGTTTGGTTACACTTGACTTGAAGGGGTGTGCATAAGACTGACATGACACCTTCATAATCATAACATGACACGTGTCATGAATATGAAGGTTTTTATGCATGTTTATGACAACTGTCATTAAGTGTCATTCGCTCAGTTATGTCATTTATAATGCAAAGATGACATTGTTTGAGATGTCTTTGTTATGGGCTATGGTTAGGGGTAAGGGTAAGGGTAGGGGTAGGGTTAGGTCAAATAATGTCATATTTGCATTAAAAATGACACAACTGAGCGAATGACACTTAATGACAGTTGTCATAAACATGCATAAAACCTCCTTCATATTCATGTCATGTGTCATGTCATGATTATGAAGGTGTCATGTCAGTCTTATGCACACCCCTTCAAGTAAAGTGTTACATTAAGTTTTATGTGTGGTCATAATGAGCAATTTTTTCATTGATGTACAGTTTAAATTCAATTGTATATTATATATAAATATTTTATATATAGTGCAATGCAAGCATGTTTTATAGAGGAAAGTGTGAGAAAACTCCCTTGACTCCCTCAAAATTTGAGTCATTTCGATGCCATTTGAGACAGAGTTGGTGAGATATGGAAGGATTGCTCAAGTCTCTCATTTTAATGTAATTTTTGTCTTGGAAAAAACAGTTAATACATTAAAAGTGTATTTTCCTTTGCACACACTTCTCAGATGCAACTGGATAAACTTTAAGCTTGCTTCAAAGTATGGAAAAATCACAGGTTCATGACAAGTTTCCAGGCTTATCCAGCTAGCCAAGTCAGTCAAGTTTTTTTAGACTAGTAATAATAATCTGTAATCATTTAGTTTATGATGCTCACTTTGAATGAAGGATATCCTAAGTTAACACGTCTGAGCCATTGGAGGACAAACTCTCTATTTGACAGATGTGACGTGTTAAGAAACCAGTCTGTTGATATTTCTGAAGAAGACTTCAAGCGGACACAATACAAAGAACTGCCAGTCATGGTTTTGCAGCAATTTTGTTTGTGTACGTCTAATAATGGGTGTGTGTGTAAGTAGGGTCAGTTAAGCTATAAAAGAAAACGCAACTAATTTTCCGATAGAAGAAGGTCTGTTCATCTACACTCCGTTGATGTGTTGGATCTGTGGATTGGTTGGATCATTTATGTGTACTCCACTGAAACTAAAACAGGAAAGGTCGATTTCTTAAAGTCCTAGAAAGTCTACAATGTCCAAATATATCGAACGCATCAGGAACCTAATCCCGGGTCTGCGCCGTCCCAACAATGGCCCACCTCAAGGAGACGTTACCGTGGATATGGGGGAGGCTGATTTTGGGAAGGAGAAGGACATGAGAAAAATGTCATTCTTCAATCCACTCGATCCCGTGCCAAAATATGACTTTTATGCCAAAGACACTTGGGCAGGACGTATTAAAAAAACCAGACCATCACTGGATGTTCTACGCAAACCAGTAAGTAAAACTCCAGAAGTGGTCATTTGAAAGAAGTTGCATGCCTAAGTAAGCTTACAAGTGAGTCTAAGTGAATATTGCGCACAAAGATTGTTTATATGGCACCACGTTTGATTTTGATGTTGATTCTCTGGATGTTCCTGTCAACAGCCGGAGCCTGATGATCTTCCTCCACCACCAGAGGAAGATGGACGGCCCAAAGTCAAGCTTGTTCGCTTTGGATGGGTTCTGGGAGTCATGGTGAGAAAGCAACAAGCATCAATGTGATCTTATTAACATCTCTAGTTGTTTCTCCAAGTTGTTAAATGGTGAGTTAAGTCTGTGCTCAGATTTTCCAAGAAATCTGCCCGATGTCTTTCTCGGCGAACCCAAACACTACAAACTTACTGAGCGTACATGTATATTTCCAAAAAATTGTCATTATCATAATGCATAAGAACGTTTTCTGTTTGATTCTTACTACAGTTATATGGATTTTTTTTTTATTCAATATTTTTGAATATTTTTTAAAAATACATTTAAATAAAAATTAAAATACATTTTTTGAGGGGGCAGTACAATAAATATATATATATATATATATATATATATATATATATTTTTGATTGCTCCTGTTGCCCTCATTTGTAAGTCGCTTTGGATAAAAGTGTCTGCTAAATGACAGAATGTAAATACAATGCAATTCTTGGTTTTACATATTAGTCATCAGTACAGTAACAAATACTGCAAAAAATTGCTTAACAGGGATACATGTTTCTCACTTATCGTTTAAATTTGCCTTTTATAAAAGCAAAATCAGTCACATATGTGATTTGTTCAGATCCGTTGAGTTTTTATTTTGTTTCAGTTGTGGCGTTAAACCATTCTTAGTTGGCCATTATTATGCATATCAATATAGGTAGCACGCCCAAATAAAAGTATATCTGTCATAATTGTAATTTATTACAATCATATTTAAAAGAAAACCATTATATCCTATGATCAAAGATTTCTCAGGTCTATAATTTCGCTTGCATAAGTTTGAATCCCTGTCTTAATTTTCATGAAAATAATTGCAATAAAAAAGGTTGTATAATTTCCTTTATGTAAAATGTAATGTTATATTTCTCTCTTTTAATGTGTTTAATGTTTCAGATTCGCGCTATGTTAAACATCTGGGGAGTCATTATGTACCTGCGGCTGCCGTGGATCACGTCTCAAGCCGGACTCAGTGAGTCAGTCCTCCGTCTGGTTTAATTCAGTTCAAGTCACTTAATTAAGCCAATTAACAGTTAAATATTTCCTCTTTTTGAGAATTAAAAGTATAAAGGCCTAATCTAAAGTAATTTGACATGTCATTTATGCATTTGTACTTGCAGTTCTGACATACGTCATTATCTTCATGTCTATCGTCGTCACAACAATCACGGCGACGTCGGTGTCTGCAATCTCTACCAACGGGAAGATCTACTCTGGTGAGAGAAATGAGTTATTCACCATAAAAACAGGAACATGTTTTAAGTAAATAAGACGCATTTCACTTCATGTTGGGTTTTAATCTGAAACACCTTTTTCAGTAAAATATCATAACATCCTTAAAGCAACATAAGAACCTGGAACTAAACTTGCCCAAGAAATGCAATGCTTGTATTTGTCTTAAACACATTTAGTGAGGTGTATTATTTCAACAAGCAAAGCCAATTTGTCAAGTAAAAATTCCACTGTGATCTTTCCTCCAGGTGGCACGTACTTCATGATCTCTCGGAGTCTGGGTCCTGAGCTCGGAGCGCCCATCGGTTTGCTCTTTGCGTTCGCCAACGCTATCGCCTGTGCGCTCCACACAGTGGGGTTTGCCGAGACCGTCCGAGATCTTCTCAAAGTGAGACATGCACACATTGGTGGGCTTGTGGGAAATTCAGAAAGCAGCTTTTTAGAAAAACAGTTCTTAAAACACAAATTCCATTCAAGAAGAATTTGGCAACATGATGAGGGAGATGAAGAATGCCTCCTCACTGTTGCTCAGATGTGTTATAAAGTTGAGTTGGTCGATTAAACAAGCATATGCAAAGTTCAGACTTTTTAATGCAACGTTTCTTAGAAGAACACAAAAGTATTGAAATACAGTTTTTCCTCTGATTTCATGTCCCTTTGGGGGCGCCAATATTTTTGGTCCATTTTCCCAGAAAGGAAAAACAAACGTTAAAGGGGTCATGAACTGCCTTTGTTTTTTTTGTTTTTATTTTGTACTGTTCTCTGAGGTCCACTTATAATGTTATCAAGGTTTTTACATAACAAAACCCATCATAATTTAGAAGTAATAGGCTATTTTCTGTCCTGTTTTAAACCCCCCTCATCAGAACGCTCTGTTTGAATAGGTGTGGTGGGATTGTAGACTCAGAAGTAAATTCCCACTGCTTTGATTGGCTAACAGTTGTGTATGTTTGGCAGCATACATTCCTCATAGATGGACGCTGCTGGGATTTAGGTTAAAAACGCATAAATAACTCAATGCATATCAAACAATCTGTAAGACACAAAGCAAAAGTGACCACATAATAAAAAATAAAAAAAAGTTACTCACACTTGTGTGATTCCAATTTAGTCTGCACAACATCGTCTTTTAGTTGCGAATAGGTGGGCGGGGCTAAACAGGCAGTGATGCAGAAGCAGGCGTTGATCTTCTGCGGAGGCGGAGCTTATCCACACCATTACATCATAGAGTAGAACATTCCACATGCTATCATTTTAGCAGGCTGACTTCAATATAAGCTGATTTTAGACCAATGCGAAAGGTTTGAGTTCTGAAACTTACAGGATGTCTTATCTGTCTTATATGTCAAAAGATTTTGGTTTCTCAGTTCATGACCCCTTTAAATGTGGAAAAATAAAAGTAAATACAGGAAATACGCAAGTAAGTTATAGTAACTACGGTTGAGCTCCAAGTGAACAGACAACACAACAGTTTAAATCTCATCCACAATCGTTTTCTCTCTTGTCAGGACTATGATTCTCAGATGGTGGACGATGTCAATGATGTGAGGATCGTTGGGGCAATTACTGTCGTCATTCTCCTCTGCATCACATTCGCTGGCATGGCTTGGGAGGCGAAGGTATGTTCCTCTACTCCTACTTTCGCTAATTTCCCAATATTGCTTCTTTTAACACAACTGTTCGCCTTGGTTTTCACTCCACCACAGGCTCAGATCCTGTTCTTCATCGCCATCATGCTGTCCTTAATTAATTATTTCGTGGGGACCGTCATTCCCACCAACAGAGAAAAGGAGTCTGTGGGATTTTTCGGCTACCGTGGTGAGTACACGAGATCCTGATCTTATAAGACTTTGAGTGCACATATATGTATCATGATTTAGATATCGATTAGATACAGTATTTGTACTAGAAAAACAAGACAAAAATGCTGAGAGAGAAAAAATGAAGGTCTTCTTCAGTCAAGCGTTTGGCGAAAGACCAGCAAAACCCACAATTTGCTTCTTCCAGGTGACATTTTCGTGGAGAATCTGCTGCCTTCCTTCCGAGGCCCAAATGGATATTTCTTTAGGTTGTTCGCCATCTTCTTCCCGGCTGCCACCGGAATTCTGTCTGGAGTCAACATCTGTGGAGATCTCAAGGTAATTTGATCTTTTTCGGATGGAGCGTGTAAAGAATGAAAGTCAAAGCGACTTTAAAACGCTAAATGACGTGGGTTATTCCATGTTATTCCAGGATCCAACGGGTGGGATCCCTAAAGGGACCCTGCTGGCCATACTCTGGACCACCTTGAGTTATTTATTGATCTCAGTCACGTGTGGTGAGATTAGACATTATGTTGCAATGCATTGCATTAGAGACCCTTAAACAAAATATGTGTCTTGTTTGGTGAAAGGCTCACCAAAGCAATTTCCTGTCTTCTCTCTCAGCTGCAACTGTTGTAAGAGACGCTTCTGGGAATGTGAACGATAGTTTAGCCCTGACAAATTTCACAACCCACTGCACCGGCCTGGGCTGTAAATTAGGCTGGAATTTTGACCGGTGTGAACAGAACCGCACATGTAGCCATGGACTGGCAAACAACCTCCGGGTGAGTGCATCGGCCCTGTTGATAAATCAATAAAACAGCGGGTTCTATTTGTTTCCATTGTGTATCATCAATTTCACTGAGCACATCGGAATTCATTGTAAAGTAATGCATTTTAACTTTGCAAGTAATATATTGTCATGTAACCACATCTGTTAAATTAATTCACATTATGCATGCATTCACTTTTATTCGTATGCCCAAACAATGTTATTTTAGTATCACTTACATATTATAGTTTTTATTAATATTTTAAATGAGTTTTTTATATATATATTTCCCATTGTTTTATTTTAATTTTACTTATAGTTTTGGTAATGTTTCTTTTTTTGTCTTTTTTAATGCTATTTTTATTAATTTTGTATTCATTATTCCAGTTTTAGTTATTTTACTATAAGTTAAACTAACTAAATTTTGAAAAAAACCCTAACTTTTTTCTACTCTAGTTATTATTCCAAGTAAAAATTATTACAAGCAGCCATTTTAATGTTTTTTTTTCATTTTGAAATTTGACACACACACACACACACACACACACACACACACTTTAAGGTGGCCTTGTTACAGTGTAATTATACTGTAATAATAATAATAATAATTAACTACATGTACTGTACTTACTATAGGCTTAGGCTTACTTGCATATAATGATGCATACTGTATTGTTATTATAATAGTAAGCATATAACATGTATAAAAAGGACACCTTAAAAAAAAAAACCCAAACAATTAAAATGTCTATCTATGAGGTTCTTCAAGCTCATGTTTCTGTAATGGGGACATTAAAAATAAGCTTGCTGTACTGTAATTTATGCACCCTTATTATTAATAAATGCAATGTATGATGTCCAAAGAAGGATAGAAAAGAAAACAATCAGTTGTTGAGGGGGTGAATTAAAATAAGAAACAGTTGTTTTCTCTTGCAGGTTGGAGGCCAGAGTATCATTTCTATTCTCCATGGACGTCTCTGTTTGGGTCTTTCTTGTCATTCATCCTCATGTTTCTGTTCACATGGTGGGCCGCTCTCGTCACTTTCTTTATCGTCCTCTTCCTCCTTGGCTACGTTACTTATACAAAACCTAGTGAGTGTCATGCTTTACCAGTTAAGCAACAGAACCCCAAATTTATCATTTTCAATGATATTTCAGTACCAAAAAAACACACACACTGTTTTTCATCTTGTCTGATTGTCTATCCAGAGGTGAACTGGGGCACGTCTTATCAGGCGGGTTTCTACAACATGGCTTTGTCCTTCTCGATGTCTTTGTCTGGTGTTGAAGACCACGTCAAAAACTACAGGTAAAGATTATTAGCAAACTGACCTCTTCAGCTCACGATGCACCAGCCGCTCACATGTAAACACTTTCTCTTAGGCCTCAGTGTCTCGTTCTGACCGGTCCTCCTAACGTCCGTCCTGCTCTGGTGGACTTTGTGGGCACTTTCACCAAAAACATCAGCCTGATGATCTGTGGGAACATTATCCTGGTACATAACATTCATCTTATACAGATAAACTGACAGTTTAATGTGTCCTTGCTAAATAAAAGAATATATTTATTTCAAAACTTGTGATGGTGTTTTCTTGCTCGCTCTCTCTCAGGAGGATGAGAAGTCCAGTTTCCCGCAGCACAGCTCCGATATGCTGGTGGACTGGCTCAATCAGAGGAAAGTTCGTTCTTTCTACACGTCCTTCACCGCTGACAGTCTGAAAGAGGGCACACATAATCTCATGCAGGTACCACCGTCGCTAGCTTCAGATCTGCTAGCGTTCTTCTTGTCATCTTGTTCTTCTCACAGAGTCTTTGCTCTTCTCGTCAATGGTCTTTCTAGGCTTCAGGTCTCGGTAAACTGAAGCCCAACACTCTGGTTTTGGGATACAAGATGAACTGGCAGGAATGTAAACCGGAGAGCTTACAGGACTACGTCAACACCATCAGGTGAGCTGCTGCTTTTGTTCACATAAATCAGAATCAGAATGAGCTTGATTGTCAAATGTCTTTATACACACACACACACACACACAAGGAATCTGAGCTTCCAGTGCAGAAAGTATAGACATACATATCATTTAAGGTAATAAAAAGACAGAAATATAGCTCTAATAATAAAGAGAATAGACAATAAATTAACACAATAATAGCTGTATGGTAATAAAAATATAGAGAAAATAAACACTTATGAACGTGAATGTGCAAATGTGCCTTTTTACAAATGAAAAGTTTTGAGAAGTTATGTACAAAATATAGAGAAAATGCCTAGTTCTTTCATGAAACTCTAGATGGCGCAGGCTGATGGGTCTTAACATGACTGATTATATTCACAGTGTTAAACAACTTGGCACAAGCTGATTGGTTCATGTTGCTTATGCAGCCAATGGGCTTGCTGCTTTACATTTAAATAGCGGATTAGCATCCACTTGAGCATTTTGCAGTGCGCTTTCAGAGTTCCTCCGAAACCCTTCACCTTCCCCAGCTCCACCTGTATAGAGCTGCTACGGGTTATTTTTTATGCTATTTGTGCAGCAGCAGTATGTCTTAAATACTCACAGCACCGTATCGCCATATGCATTGGAAGTAGCAAGTTCCTGTACTTGCTTGCAGCAGCAACTACAGCAAAAACCAACAGCAGCAGCAGCAGATCTATTCCGCCAGGACCAAATACAATAACATTGTCATATCCATTCGCATGCTAAAATCTTCTGAGAGTTGTCATGATAGAAACAGAATTGTGAATGTGCAAATGTGCTACTTATAGGTGAACAGTTGTGAGAAGTTATGCATGTATGTAGTCGTGAGATGTTCTGTATTATTCAGGTGGAATGAGGGAAAAGGGAGGAAAAAAGCTGTTCTGTTGGTTGCACTTTTTTCTTTGTATTTTGATCTTGTGTAATGTTTCACCTACAGCGATGCATTCGACTCCAGCTACGGCATCGCCATCCTGAGAATGATGGACGGATTGGACGTAACAGATAATGTGCACAGTGCAGGTGTGTGTTTTATACCGTATGCCTAGAAAATGGATTGACTAGTTCGAGTCATTAAATCAAGTCTGATGTGGGTTTGTTTTGGTTGAAGATGGATCATCTGCAATTGACAATCCAGCATTCGACGCAGAGGAAGTCCAATACGAAAAGGATGAGACCGACCGGAATTCAGGTGGAACATGCATCTGAAGTCTTATTTATTGTGCACTTTTACTCCATTGACACTATTAGTGAAGTGATGTGACATAATATAATGTTACAGTGATTTTGGGATACCAAATTAAAAACCCTGGATGGAAATGCCAACAGAAAATAGCTTTATGTGTCACACTTGAAACAGGAATGCAATATTCTAAAATAATTGGAAGAATAAAAAAGCATTTGAATATTTAATCAATCAGAATGCTTTTATTATAACCAGCAAAGCTGCAGATGGGGTACACAGATTGTTTTTCCAATCAAGCTTCATTTGGTACTATTTGACCTCGGACCTTACAAAACGATTTTTTTTAAACCTTTTTGATTCCCCATCCAGATATTTCTGACGATGGCTCGAATGAGCAGGTCAGATCGGTGTTTCAGACGAAACAGGGCAGGAAGAGCATCGACATCTACTGGATCTCTGATGATGGAGGTGAGAATTATACTTACACTCCCTGCGGAAGCACCTTAATGGTTCGGGTTGGTTTTGATATTTCTAAAAAATATCCACATTTATTTTCTCACTGTGAAGCATCATTGCTCTCTTTCAGGTCTGACTCTTTTAGTGCCATATTTGTTGACCAGAAGAAACCGCTGGAAAAAGTGCAAACTCCGAGTGTTTATCTTAGGAGACCAGGAGACCATAAAGGAAGACCGTAAAGAGTGAGTTGATCATCATCATTTTTGTAACTACATTTTTTAGTTTTGATATGCAGACAAGTCGACGTGTTTCTCATTTCAGCATGAAGATGCTGTTAAAGAGATTCCGGCTGGAGATCGAGGACCTTGTCATAATAACAGACGTGGATAAAGCTCCGCTACCGAAAAAGTAAGAAATGGGCACAAACATGCTCATGAACACGCATACAAAAACATACATGTTTTTAGTAACCGTTGTGCTTTTCTTCCTCTCTGTTGCTGTAGTTTGCAGCGGTACGAGGAAACCATCGCCCCCTTCAGGCTGAGTGAAGAACAGGCTGGAGGAGACGTACAGGAGCTCAAGAGACTGAGTCCATGGAAAATATCCAACAAAGACCTGGAGGCCATACAACCAAAGGTGTGTATGTTTGCTAGCGTGTGGGGTTTTGAACACAAATACGATGCATCAGCTAAATAGAATTACCCTGTGTTCACGCTCAGATCGAGAGCACACTGCGACTAAACGAGATCATCAAGAAGAACTCCATCCACGCGGCTCTGGTTGCAATGTGAGTATCGATACTTAGGCTAGTTTACTTGAAAGTGACATCACAAACAACTGATCATAATTTAACATTTTCAGGCCTTTGAGACCCTGCTTAACCAATACGAGTACTTTGGTCACCCAAAGAGCTGGATGGCCATCTTTACCAACTAATTCGCACCTGATACTACACTGTAAAAAAAATTCTGTAAAATTTACGGTAAAAAACCAGCAGCTGTGGTTGCCGGAATTTTACCATAAGATTTTACAGTTTTAACTTAAATTTACAGTTAAATACTGTAATTTCATTAACTGATATACCAACCTATTGAAGTACTGAAATCTGTTTTGTATCTTTGTAATACACTGATAACCACCAAATGCAGGAGGTGATGAGAAAGTCACATGATGAACCAAAGCCCATCACAAGCAGCTTTTAAATAATAACATATATAGAAGGTGCACAGCGTCATTCACACAAACACTAAACACCATCACGGTGACACACAGGAAACGGAAAATATGCAATAAACATGCATTTAACAACAACCCTAATACACACAACTGATAAGAAAAAAACTAAGAAGAAACATAGTTATTTCAACAAAAAACATCACATTTGAAATGTAACGCAGGGAATTCTGGGAATGTCAATTTACGGTTATTCACTGTAAATTATAGGGTCTTTTGCACTTCCAAAAAATAGTATACTACCATAAAATTAATGTCCAATACATGTAATGTCCAATACAGTTTTCACCGTATATAGTAGGGGAATTTACCGTTAACCATTTAACAGGTTTTTACTGTAGCATTTTTACAGTCTTTTACCGTTAAACTCACGGTCATTTTTTACAGTGTAGCTCTGAACAAAAAACAAGGAAATGAATAAACTAAACCAGAAAAGCAGCAAAGACAAAAGAAAACATACAAAAAGTTGGAAATAAATAGGTTTTGTTAAAGTGCAGTTTTAATAAAAAACAAACTGCGATATTTTAAAGTTTGCCCATTTTTACTTCTTGTGAAGCCCTTTGTGCTAAATTGCTGAAAGGAGCTATAACAAACTTTATTATTATTATTCCTCAAGTATTTAAGCAGAAGCCTTTAGATCAAAAGGGCCTCGAGATCATAACAAATTCAGTCAAGTGTGTCCAAACATTTGAATGGTAGTTAATGTGTGTGTGTGCTTCAGTTCTCTTCCAGTCCCTGATGTCACCTGTCCTAGTTCTCTCTATATGTCCTGGATGGACGCTCTGAGCTACGGCATCCACTGTCCCGTCCTGCTCATACGAGGAAACCAGGAGAACGTCATGACCTTCTACTGCCAGTAAAACACTCACATTAATGTGACTGTTCATCCTTAAACACATTTATTACTGCGTATTACTTGCAATGTAAAGATGCTGAATCTGTTGTACTGAAATGAGCTGCTTAATCCTTTTGAACATTGACTGTATTACTACGTATATATGTAGATTTATTTCACATGCTTGTATCTTTGAGGATGATGCAGGTCAAACAGATTCGGTAGAAAGGATAGAATAGAGATACAGTAGAAACGCAGTAGAGTTTGGCTGGTGGAGGGAAGTGCTTTTTCTGCTCTCGGGATCTTCATTTCAGGGTAGAAGTTTCTTGCAGTTTGAGTGAAAAAATTGTGTTATGTGTAAGATTATTAGGTTATTGTTATGAATTGCAAGTATGCTTTTTATCTGCTTATGAAAGTAGAAAGGATAGAATAGAGATACAGTAGAAACGCAGTAGAGTTTGGCTGGTGGAGGGAAGTGCTTTTTCTGCTCTCGGGATCTTCATTTCAGGGTAGAAGTTTCTTGCAGTTTGAGTGAAAAATTGTGTTATGTGTAAGATTATTAGGTTATTGTTATGAATTGCAAGTATGCTTTTTATCTGCTTATGAATGTGAAAAATAAAAATTAGCACCACATCTCTAAAGACTTCATATATAGGAATTTTGCTTCTCAGTGGCCTCAAAAGTGTTTAGGAAAATAAGGAAAGGTAAGGACATGACATGTGGCCAAGTATAGTGTCCCATACTTGGGATTTGTGCTCTGCATTTAACCCATCCAAGTGCACACACAGCAGTAAGTAGTGAACACACACACACACACACACACACACACTTATTAATTAACAGCTGAGTTTACCCTCACATTATTATTCTTTCCCATACTTGGAATTTGTGCTCTGCATTTAACCCATCCAAGTGCACACACAGCAGTAAGTAATGAACACACACACACACACACACACACTTATTAATTAACAGCTGAGTTTACCCTCACATTATTATTCTTACATTTCGATCAAATATTTTTAAGACTCCAATATTATCAGAGTGAACTTTGTGCATGAATGACATATGTACCAGCATTCTCATAAAACAAACATACATACATCTTTCTTTGCTTGAATCCAATATGAAGAAATAATAAAAAAAAAAGTTTCATGTGATTTTTGGCAAGTGGTGGCAGTTCACGGTCCACCATTGCGACCAGGGCGAGATTTTAGCATATAGGCATTCTAGGCCTGTGTCTATGCTCACACTTCCAGGGGGCCCAATTACAAGAAGAAATAAATTACTGTTTATTCTATGGGTTGCCTACAATAGCAAAAGAATCAAAACCCAAAAAGACATTTAACAAGCAAATAGATACAACAAATATTAGGATGGCTAACTATTGACATGTTTTCCCAATGAAATTAAGTTTTAATATCTACAAATCACCTTTTTCTCCCGTTATTTCATACACAAACGCACATACATATAGTACAGACTCACAGTCTTGCGCACTTGGATCAAACAGATGCACAGTAACTTGTCAGTGCTGCCCCAGGACTTTATCAGTACTTTTGAAATGCATGAGATTTCTCGGTATGGAGGTGGTAACATTGCTATTTTTGAAGAAGTTAAACTTGCAAATTCGCTATTGGTAGCGATAGAGAACACGGTAATGGTTTTCATATGCATTATGATTAAGTTTTGTTTTGGGTGGTATTAGTAGCAATATATTAATAGGGAAGGGGGGCCCAGAAAATTATTTTGACTATGTCACAATAAGAGGTAAATCCGGCACTGATCACAACGATAACGAGAGAGTAAACGCTTTAATCCAAGCCCTCACGAGAAATGCAAGCGTGAATTCCTATTGAAATGTGTCTGAAGACATCTCAGTGTATTTTGCCATGTTGAAATGACGTGACCCACAATATTTCACTGAACGTCAACGATTTCTTCTATGCAATAGCGCTCACCACACGCTCTTATAAACAAACCAATGGTTTCATAAGAGAACCAGATTCAAATGAGGGAAGACACAATTAGAGTTAATATAACTTCAGTTACAGTCTTTTCTTAGCATAAAACTATTGAATTAAGTCAGAAGACTTGGAAGAATGCATCACATGGACTACTAAGTTTTTTTTTTGTTTTTTTTAGCTTGACAGTTAAAATCACCATCCTCTCATCCTTGCGTTTCACAGATAAAAGCGTCAGATAGGTTTGGACAGACATGACAGTGAGTAAATAAGATTTTTGCCCAACTATTCCTTTCACATTGCTCCTGCAAAGCAGGTTAGTTTATTCATTTTTGCAAAGATCCATATCTGTAGTTAAAATGTTTTGTTTTGTATTGTATTTATTTGCAACACAAATTATACAGAAAATAACAATGTCAGCCTACTTACAAAAAGTTAAAACGGTTACAATTTCTGATTTGCTACTAGAAGCTTAGCTGATGCATCTTTCTAATATCAGATTAACAGTTCTCTTTTTTTCTTCCAAATCCAAAAGGCTTGTTCACACTGCAGTGTCCTGAACTCATTTATTTTCAAAAATAAATGCCTGTCTGTTCATAATGTTATTCACGTCTGCTGTCTGTGTACAAAAATGCCCCTCCTGAATGTTATTTTTATTAAAAATAAATAAATATAATAATAATAATAAAAATTAATACACGGTTTATGTGATCAAAAATGTAAAAGCCGGTTCCACAACCCTCTCAGCTGTGTCATCTCAAGAGCAGAGGAGGTACGTGTGACATACAGTTATTTAGTTTGATATTCAGTATTGGTTTTGGGTGTTTGGAAATGAATGCATCTCAAAAACACATCAAAATTCCACTATAGATCCTCATGAGAGAACAATAAATCCCATAAGAGCAAAAGAGTCTGTCTCTTTTCCTCCAAAACAACTAAATGGAAACATTTGTCATCTTATCTTTTTTTATCCTCCAAACCCCTCTCTCAGTAGTCACACTCTCATTCCATCATCATACACACAGTTCTTTCTCTTTAACTGAAGCGACTGGAATGGAGGGTTTTTAAAGGCTCTCAGTAATCAGTATTACACTCTTAAAAATAAAGGTGCTTCACGATGCCATAGAAGAACCTTTTTGTCTAAATGGTTCCATAAAAAACCTTTAACATCTGAAGAACCTTTCTGTTTCACAAAAGGTTCTTCGTGGCGAAAGAAGGTTCTTCAGATTATAAAAAGGTAAGAAAGAGATGGTTCTTTAAAGAACCTTTGACTGAATGGTTCTTTGTGGAACCAAAAATGGTTCTTCTATGGCATCGCTTGAAGAACCTTTTGAAGCACCTTTATTTTTAAGAGTGTACCTGTTTGCACTAATCAACTCAACCCTCCTCTATCAGCTCATTCGAGTGTTTTGTATACGAATTAGTGATGCCAAGATCGATTCATTTCCGTGAACCGGTACTTTTCGGACAGATCGGCTCATTGAAGCGGTTCAAAAAGCCGATTCATCGGTTCCTGACGTCATCAAGCAGTACGTCTCTACGCATTTCTTTTCTAGCATCTCAGTGCCATGTTGTATCAATGAACAATTCAAATAAGTTTTTTGTGTCAACACATATTAAAACATTCAAAAAATAAAGTTATTTGTGTGAAAGCCTATTGCTGATTATTACCATATAATTCATTTAAGTTAATGGTGTTTGTGGTCACAGTTTCATTCGCGGATCCTTTATGTCAGATAGCCTACGACTGACAGACCAATACTGACTAGCTTACAACTTGGATAAGATTCCTAAAAGTTTCACACCTACATCACACATTACAGACATTGATGCACAGACGCGGATATGTTCTACATGTCTACAGTATAAAGAAAGAATAAACCAGTCTTATAAACTCCTTTATATCCTAAACGCCAAATATAATATGCATGCACAATAAACTATTGTGAAATGTATTTACATCACTCGACAGAAAGGTTTTTGCAGGTTTTAATAAAATGTAAATTAATAACAGTCATAATTAGCATATTTCCAGTACACGCCTCAGGCTTGCACAGTGTCGTCAACTCACTCATCAGAATATTCGGTAATCCTCGGCAAACTTCGACAGTTGGTTGAATCGGCTAAATCGGTTCTTGTTGAGTTGGACGTGTTACTTCTGGCTTTGCGTCCTGCGTCATCAACCCGGAACTAAAGTTCGATTCAGTTCGATTTGTGAACCGGCTCGACCGGTTACTTCCTGAGAACCGGCTCAAAAGAACGATTAGTTCAAGAACCGAACATCACTAATACGAATTGTTTGCCAAAGTAATACTGCAAATTGTAAAACAAAACAAACTATTGATTTAGCAATACAATAATGAATGCATAAAATTTAACACATAATAAATGTGTGACAACTTGTCTCAATTTGACATTCGTGAACACACCTCTTGTCCTGAGAATACAGTTTAACCCTGGTCTGAATGCACTGCATGTCTGACATGACAGTGTGTTCAAAACGTTCAAAGCCTTAGAGTTCCCTGCTTCTCAGATCTGAGAAAAACACTCCAGTAATTTCACATGCCCTCTTTTAGAAGAGATCTCTACAATGTTTTAGATTTGCCAGAGATCTCATTATGAACTTAAACATTTCTCATCAAATCATTAATTTTAAAGCTCAACTGATGGACAACTTTTGACTCTTTTGTGTCTGTTTTTAATTCTACTGTAGAATTTCAGGAGAAACATCTGAGGCAAAGTTGATGATCTGTGAAAGAGCAGTGCCTGAGCTGAAGTCTTTCCGTGGTCATTGTCAGTTGATGTATTATGTATTTTTCTTTCCTGCATGCTTTAAGGTGTGTGAGCAGGTTTGAGATGTTGCATGCTGCTCTGATAACAACTGGACAAACTTTAAACTTGCTTCAAAGCATGGAAAATAACATTTTATGTGTTTTTTTTTGTCACAGTGTCTGTGTAAGGATAACATCTACCCCTACATCGGCTTCTTTGGAAAAGGTTACGGGAAAAACAACGAGCCTCTGCGAGGCTACTGTCTCATGTTTTTCATCGCTTTGGCTTTCATCCTCATCGGTGAGTTTTGGATCTCCCTCCAGTTTCCCGCAGCACAGCTCCGATATGCTGGTGGACTGGCTCAATCAGAGGAAAGTTCGTTCTTTCTACACGTCCTTCACCGCTGACAGTCTGAAAGAGGGCACACATAATCTCATGCAGGTACCACCGTCGCTAGCTTCAGATCTGCTAGCGTTCTTCTTGTCATCTTGTTCTTCTCACAGAGTCTTTGCTCTTCTCGTCAATGGTCTTTCTAGGCTTCAGGTCTCGGTAAACTGAAGCCCAACACTCTGGTTTTGGGATACAAGATGAACTGGCAGGAATGTAAACCGGAGAGCTTACAGGACTACGTCAACACCATCAGGTGAGCTGCTGCTTTTGTTCACATATGTGAGCCTGGAGCCTCCACGATTAAGTCGCTGGGGTATATTTGTAGCAATAGCCAACAACACATTGTAAGTGTCAAAATTATCCACTTTTCTTTTATGCCAAAAATCATTAGGATATTAAGTAAAGATCATGTTCCATGAAGATATTTTGTAAATTTCCTACTGTAAATATATGAAAACGTAATTATTGATTAGTAATATGCATTGCTAAGAACTTCATTTGGACAACTTTAAAGATGATTTTCTCAATATTTAGATTTTTTTGCACCCTATCCTAACAAACATCATACATCAATGGAAAGCTTATTTATTCAGCTTTCAGAAGATGTATAAATCTCAATTTTAAAAAATTGACCCTTATGACTGGTTTTGTGGTCCAGGGTCACATACATCAGTGAATCTGTTACACTTTTACTTTGTATTTTGATCTTGTATGATGCTTCTCGTTCAGCGATGCATTCGACTCCAGCTACGGCATCGCGATCCTGAGAATGATGGACGGATTGGACGTAATGGCTGATTTGCACAGCGCAGGTGTGTGTTTTATGCCTTATGATGGATCGAAAATGGCTCAGCTTTGCACTTTGAGTCATAGAATCAAGTCCGATGTGGGTTTGTTGTGTTTGAAGGCAGATCATCTGCTATTGATAACCCGGCATTCGACGCAGATGAAGTTCCACAATGTGGAAAGGACGAGACCGACCAGAATTCAGGTGAAACACACAGCAACTCTATTTTCTGTGCACATAAATGTCATTTGACATATATTAACAGAAATGTAAATAATAAAATGGTATAATCAACATTTCAAGTCCTGATGTCATCACTCAGTCAGCCAATCAGAATGATTCTATTATAATAACAAAGCTGTGTAGCTTCACTCGAGCTTCATTAGATGTGACGATCTGACGACTGGCCATACAAAGCTTCCTTTTTGATTCCCCATCCAGATATTTCTGACGATGGCTCGAATGAGCAGGTCAGATCGGTGTTTCAGACGAAACAGGGCAGGAAGAGCATCGACATCTACTGGATCTCTGATGATGGAGGTGAGCCACAGCTGCCTGAATATGCTAAACATTTTATTTTGAAAGTAATTTCCATATTTGTTTTCTCACTGTGAAGCATCATTGCTCTCTTTCAGGTCTGACTCTTTTAGTGCCATATTTGTTGACCAGAAGGAACCGCTGGAAAAAGAGCAAACTCCGAGTGTTTATCTTAGGAGGCCGAGAAACCATGGAGGAAGACCGCAAAGAGTGAGTTGATCATCATTTTTGTAACTACATTTCTAGATTTGAAATGCAGAAACGGTGGTTCTTTAAACTTGTTTGTCTTTGCAGCATGAAGATGCTGTTAAAGAGATTCCGGCTGGAGATCGAGGACATCGTCGTGATAACAGACGTGGATAAAGCTCCTCTAGCGAAAACGTGAGTTTGCTCATAAATACACGTATTTTAAAATGCATCTTTATAGTAACGTTTGTGCTTTTCTTCCTCTCTGTTGCTGTAGTTTGCAGCGGTACGAGGAAACCATCGCCCCCTTCAGGCTGAGTGAAGAACAGGCTGGAGGAGACGTACAGGAGCTCAAGAGACTGAGTCCATGGAAAATATCCAACAAAGACCTGGAGGCCATACAGCCAAAGGTGTGTGTGTTTGCTAGCGTGTGGGGTTCTGATTGTAAGTAAAATGTTAAAGCAATAATGCGTTATAGGCAACAGTTTGTTTCTGTGAAGCTGCTTTGAAATAATGTGTGCATTAACAAATAAATTCAACTTGAGTCTGATAATCAGTCCCTCTGTTATACTGTCTTTTGTTTTCAGCTGGAGAGGACAGTGAGACTAAATGAGATAATCAAGAAGAACTCAATCCACGCTGCTCTGGTTGTAATGTGAGTACAGATCATGGTCATTGCTGTTAACTAAAACCATTTTAAACGACAACAACAACAAAACATTACTTGGAATAAAATAAACATTAACTGAAATAAAATAAAAAGCTAGTTGGAGAGGCAACATGTCCCATTTCCGATTAGTTGAAATACTAAAATGACAAAAAATAAATTAACTACAACTAAAACTTAAAAACTATATATAATTTCTTTTTTCTTTTTTTTTTTTAATTTTT